TGAGGAGCGGTGTGGTGCGAGGAATTGGGGAGGGCCAGCTCTTCTGGGCCTATACCACCCTGTGCACCTACCTATAGGCCTATGGGTCAGTGAGGGGTTGGGCCAGGTCTACAGGGTAAGGTCAGTTCTCTGGTGCCCATGAACATTAACATGGCTTCAGGCAGCAGCCCAGACCACTGGCATCAACATGGGATTCAGAGGTAACACTGAGCTGCAGACGTCAACATGGCCCTTGGCTGTATCAGGACCACTGACTCCCTTGTGGCCCTCAGCAGCTGCTTGGGTCAGAGAGTCTTGACAAGACCTCAGGTGGTTGGTTACACATGCCTCTCACATCAGCGTGATGCCCCAAGGCAGCAAAGTATCACCAAGGCATTGGGCAGTGACACAGGCTGCCAACATTCACATAGAGCTCAAGTCTGGGGCAGCAGCATGGACTACAGACAACCACATGGCCTCTGGTGGCATCATGGGCCATGGTGGTGCTTCAAGGGGTCCAATCCAGGAAGTGAAACTTTACTCATCTTAGGCTTCCATCACTGCCCACAGCCAGAGGTATCCCAGGGCTGGGAGGCAGGTTCAGGGGCCGGGGCTGAGTGTGTCTGCATAAGCTCCAGGCTGTTGTACACCATCCCTCCAGCCCTTTTGAGTGAGGATAGCATATTGATCTCAAACCACTCTCTTTCCTATCTGTCACCACCATAACGTCTCCAGTTTTGCGTTTCTCCACAGGACACGCACCGCTCTGTTTTTCTATCTTTGCTACCTCTCCATGACATGTTTGTTCTTTGTAGTAGTGCCTGCCACCACCCCAGGCTACAAAGCCAGCATGGTGCTTGGCTGTCTTTGTCATTTCCCTAGGCTGTGAGACCCAGCTTGGTTTGTTTTTATTGTGAGGCAGGTGTCACGGGGATGAATACCTTGGTATTTGTATGTCTGATAAACTCTTCAGGCAGGTGACTCACTCATCTCTGCTTTGGGGACATATCTAAAAAGTTAAAATCAGAGTTCCATGTTATCAAACTCGCCACCCAATAGAGATGTTTACACATCCACATTTATTCCCGAACTCTAAAATATGAATTAGTGGATTAAAAATGAAATACATACACAGTAGGACTTTTTGAGGATTTATTTTAAGTTATGTGTATGTATGTGTCTCTGTGTGGATATGTGGGTGGAGGGAGGTGGCCAAGGAGACCAGAAGAGGGCATCATATCCTCTGGAACTTGAGTTACAGGTAGTTATGGGTTGCCTGACATAGGACCTGATTTTAAAAAAAACAAACTTGGGTCCTGAAGACAAGCAACAAATACATGAAGCTTCTACGCCATCACTCTAGTAACCACAATGGAATTGTACTCAGCAACGAAGAACAAAAATGATTCCATTTACAGAAAACTGGATGGAACTGAAGACACTCATACTCCGGGAAGTAATACAATGTCTTAGTTAGGGGTTTATTGCTGTGAAGAGGCACCATGACCATGACATGTCTTAATTAGGAGATGGCTTACAGTTTTGGAGGCTTAGTCTATTAAAATCATGTCAGGAATCATGGCAGTTCACAGGCACTGAGAGTTCTGCATCTGGAACAGCAGGCAGCAGGAAGAGAGAGTGAGACTGGGCCTGGCTTGAGCTACTGAAACATCAAAGCCCGCCTCAGGTGGCACACTTCTGACAAGGCCACAACCATTCCAATAAGAACACTCCTCTTAGTACGGCCAATCACTAGGAGACTATGGAGGGCCTTTTCATTCGGGCAAACACACCCAGATTCAGGAAGATAAATTTTGCATGTTGTCCTCTATTGGTAGAATCTAGATATTTTTTAAAGTATAAAATAAAAGGGACATTTTTAAGGGAGAGGAACAGACACCAGGAGTGGCACAGGAAATCAAAGAGTCACCTATAGAGGCCAATATAGCCCAAGTAGACATTATGTTTTCATGGAGATGACATAATAAAATCCATTGTTTTGTGCAATAAATATACACCAACAAAATTCTTTTCAAGTATTTCTTAGATAACATGTTCAATGGCATGTCTAGTCTCTTTAAGCTTTCCTTTAATCCCAGCTCTTGGGAGGCAGAGGCAGACAGACCTCTGTGAGTTCAAGGCCAGCTTGGCCTACAGAGTGAGTGCCAGGAGAGGCTCCTAAGCTACACAGAGAAACCCTATCTTGGAAAACCTAAAACAACAACAACAACAAAAAGAATTTTATTCATAATGAGAAAAAGTGCCCTATTCATCAATTAATTCATAACTATTTTAATAGGATATTATTCAAAGCATAGTGGGGTTTGAAATATTTCCATACATAGTGCTAAGCACACTTTTTTCTACGAATACCAAACAATTAGTTACATTCTCTAAATTCCAAAGTGCTTATAAAAACCAACACATAAAAAGCTGGCTCAAAAGCATAGTAGTCTCTCCCTCCCTCCCTCCCTCCCTCCCTCCTTCCCTCCCTCCTTCCTTCCCAATCTCTAAAATTCCTTTTTGAGATTTCAACTCCAGGAAACATAATGCAATTTGAGATACTAAGAACATGTAATAGTTCCACAAATAGTAAGTCCAATGGCCAAGAAAAGTGGCCATTGTAATAATCACCTAGAAACAAAACTATGTTGATAAAAGAGAAGAGTTAAACGAGTTATTGACAAAAACAACTGAAACAATAACTAAAATGTCATTTTTCCACATACAAAGCTTCACATTAAAAGATTTAGGTTTTGAAAGGTTTTCTCAAACAGGGGAAATATGATTTTTATAATTGTTTTAAAGATTTCCATTTTGTGGTTTTTAATCTGTGGTAAATGACAATGACAGTGAAAGAAAAATGGAAAAAATGTTGCCTTATTTTAAAGCATTTGGATCTATGTTTGTAAAATGCAAAATCACT